AAAATTTATGATAATATAAAAAATTATAGTTATGAGATAAACTAAGAAAACATATTTGTTTTCTATAAAATATAAAAAAAGTAACTTTATTTTAAAATAAATTTTAAATAAAAAACGTCTTTTATTATTTCACAAGAGAAAGCAAGAGTAACATTTTAAATATTAGACAGGCTGATTTTCACCTTTTTATTTATTTTATTTATTATTTACGCTATTTTCATTAATTTCGTGACTTTCGTCGCTAAAAATATAAACCCATAAGGCCTGAACCCCCGATGCACTCCCAACTCCCAAGTCCCAACAAGAAAAACCCTACAAAAATTGCATATCCTTCTTTTGTTCCGCAGAAGCAGAATATCAAGTCTCAACTTCAAAACCGAAAGATGAGAAGACCCAAATCGAGAGGCGTACGCAAGCAACACCGGAATTTGGAAGTAGAAGAAATCGAGCTTCTTAACCAATGGATCGACTCCCAGAAGCCTAACTCGGGCTCCAACCCTTTGTCGCTTGAACCACTGGAGAAGAACTTACCTGTGGGCCGCTTCGTCAATGACAATGGGGTCGTGGCGTTCTCCCGGTATGCGGGGGCGAGGAAGTTCTATCAGCTGCCAATATCGAAGAAGACGAAAGATGGTTTAAAGGAGGCCAAGTATATCAATATGACTGATATTCAGGTTGCTTCTTTGCCACATGCGCTTTGTGGGCGGGATATTCTCGGGGCTGCAAAGACTGGGTCGGGGAAGACTCTGGCTTTTGTTATTCCGGTAAGTTGTGCTTGTTTGGTAACTGAGAAAGTGTCTGAAAATGGGAGGATTTCCAATGAATTGATTAATTTTTCCGTGAAACATCTTTGTTTCGGGTGGCTTTGAGTTAATTTTTTTAATGATTTTTTTGCCTGTGATTGCTTAGACAGCTTAAAAAGATGGACTTTAAGTTTCTTCTTATTCTATCTCCCTTTCTCTCACTCAGACAGAGACCATTATAATGTTTATTTCAGGTTCTAGAGAAGTTGTATAGGGAGAGATGGGGTCCTGAGGATGGGGTTGGTAGCATCATAATCTCTCCCACAAGGGAGTTGGCCGGTCAACTTTTTGATGTATTAAGAGAGGTTGGGAAGCACCATAATTTTAGTGCTGGTCTCTTAATCGGTGGTCGCAAGGGTGTTGACACAGAGAAGGAGCGGGTTAATGAGCTGAATTTTTTAGTTTGTACCCCTGGTCGTCTTCTGCAGCACATGGATGAGACTCCAAATTTTGATTGTTCTCAACTTCAGGTCAACATGATGTTAATCTTAGTGTTGTTCTTAATTTATTCGCTTTTGACATTATATCACTGTTACTTTTTGTTCCTTTTTAATCAATATTGTTGTGTTTCTCTTGTTAGATGCTGATTTGGGTGGAGTTTTCTGGCCAGGGAACAGGTTTTAGTCCTTGATGAGGCAGATCGTATTCTTGACATTGGATTCAAGAAGACTTTGAATGCAATTGTTTCACAACTACCTAAGCCTAGACAGACCTTGCTTTTCTCGGCTACACAGACAAAGTCAGTTCAGGACCTTGCAAGACTCAGTTTGAAAGATCCAGAATATCTTGGTGTACATGAGGAATCTGTTACAGCCACTCCAAATCGATTGCAGCAAACTGCTATGATAGTTCCGCTTGATGAAAAATTAGATATGTTGTGGAGTTTCATAAAGGCGCACTTAAATTCAAAGATTCTTGTGTTCCTTTCAAGTTCCAAGCAGGTAAGTTTTTGTTTTTTACATTGTGTTAACTTGGTTACAAGGAAGGGAGACTTGCTATGTGTTTTCTTCAATGTAGAAGAGGTATTGGGGATTATTTAGAGAATTATTATCTGGGGATTTACCCTTTAAGAACAAAGTCTCTTTCTTATCTGCAAGTGCAAATAAGTTTAAGTACTGCTGGTTCCATTAATAAATCACTTGGTTAGCCAAAATAGGGCAGTTGAATATTGAGTATCCATCTAATTACATGTCTGATTCTTTCTTCTGTGTTGACATTTGCTTATTAGTTTTTACATACAATTAAAGTGATGAACAAGAGATGCATTGTTTGATAGGTAAAATTTGTCTTTGAAGCATTCAAGAAATTGCGTCCTGGTATACCTTTGAAGTGTCTTTATGGAAGGATGAACCAAGAGAAAAGGATGGGAATTTATTCCCAGTTCTGTCAGACACGCTCTGTTCTCTTCTCAACTGACGTGGCCTCACGAGGCCTTGACTTTAATAAGGCAGTTGACTGGGTTGTACAGGTGCTTTATATGTTCAATGAAGTACTTTTTGTTTTTGTTTGGGAAAGGGAGAAAGCTCTTTTCTCTAATTCTTCATTTTTTTTCCTATCTTAATTGAGTTTGGGTCCTTTCACTTGTCTTTGCAGGTGGACTGTCCTGAGGATGTTGCATCCTATATACACCGAGTTGGTAGAACTGCTCGCTATCTCTCTGGAGGAAGGTCAGTTTTATTTCTGGCACCTTCAGAAATGGAGATGCTTGAAAAATTAAAAGCTGCAAAAATACCTATACAATTCATTAAGGTGGATTGATTTCCCTTCTCTTTTCCCTGTTTTGATTTCAATGACTCATATCTATGATGGCTTGCCCACTCATTTCTGCTAAGCACATGCTATCCTTACTGTTATGCTGATTTTCCAGGCAAATAAAAGAAGGCTGCAACCAGTTTCTGGATTGTTGTCTGCTTTACTAGTCAAATATCCAGATCTGCAGCATGTAGCTCAGAGGGCCTTCATTACGTACTTGCGGTCTATTCATATCCAGAAAGACAAGGAGGTTTTCGATGTGACAAAACTTCCTATTGACGAATTTTCAGCATCACTTGGTCTACCAATGACCCCCAAAGTCAAATTCTTGAACCGGAAAGCTAAGGGCAAAATGTTATCAGGAAAATCTTCTCTACCTGAATCAGAAATTTCTGACGAGGATGATGCAACTGCCATTTCCCGGGAGGATCTTTTTGCAGATGATATCAAAGAGGACAACCTGGACAAGGTTGAAAAAGAATTGCTTCTAACAAAGGATAACCAGAGCAGGGACGGGGAGAAAGCAGATGATATTGGAGCTTTAGTGTAAGCCCATTCTTGATAATGTTTCATTTAATGTTCGTTCAACTATCAAGATGGTCTTTCGTGACTAAATTCTATTCTTCCTTCAGGCCAGGAACTCGGATTTTGAAGAAAAAGAAGTTGAAGATTAATGTTCATAGGCCTGCAGGAACGAGAGTTGTATTTGATGAGGAAGGCAACACACTGCCTCCACTGGCCATGGTGGCTGACATAAATAGTGGTGACATTCTGCTTGATCAAGGTATACGTTATCAATCTTATTTTCTGAGACATTTTTCTGAAGAATGTACCATTGGCAATGTGTTTTGTGACGTATTAATTAATAGTCATAATTATTAAAATAAAATGATGCATTGTTTCTTCTAATGTTGCATGGCTAGTTTACTTCTAACTTGACACCGTTGTATATGTTAAACTCCTTTTTTTTTTTTTTTTTGGCTTTGTTATATAATCTATTAAACTTGATGCTGTATTTGACATAGCATCTGATAGTTGGTCCAGGTGGTAAAAGATAAAATCAAGCTTAGTGATGATTTTTTTCCATGCTTTTACTGTGCTATTCCCTGTTGAACCTCATTCTATTTGTGCTGCAGTTAAAAAGGATGAGTACTACAAGAAGATGAGGGAAGAGTTGAAGCAGGTAGACAAGCAAGACAAGCTTCTTGACCGTCAACGACGCAGGGAGAAACGGATCAAGGAGAAGATGAAGTTGAAGAAGGCGAAATTGGAAGAAGAGAACAATGAAGAGGGAGAAGATGATCTTTCTGGTTCAGAAGCAGAGGCAGATGCACAAAGGAAACCCAAGAGGTCAAAGATATACTTTGATAGTGATAATGATGATGGCGAGGCAGAAAAAAGTAGGGATGACAAAGATCTCAAAGCTGATTCCATATCTGTGGCAGAGCAAGAGGAACTGGCTCTTAAGTTATTGAGCTCAATGCACTCATAAGTTACCGTGAACTATGTTCTTTTCTACTTAAGTTCATTTACCTTACCTCCTTTTTTTCCTTTTTTCTTTTTTCGAAATGAGAAATTCCATCAAAACATTTTAAAACGGTGAATTCAAAGCCATTTGCTTTTCCTAATGAAGTAAGCATTCTACAATTAATTTTTGAATTATTGTTAACTCATTAATTTTGACAATCATTCATTTTTACTTTTAAAGGAGATAACCATCTTTTCATTTTTTCTTTCCAATTCGTTCTTGTTCGACTTAAAGTTCTAACCTATGATCACCAAGTTGTCAAATTTTTAACCAATTAAACCAGCCCATAGGAGGTGGAATACGTTGTTACTTTTAAGTATCTAAAGAAGTCCAACAAACTGTCATTTTTCCGGAGGCAACTTGCAATAAGAAAGATTCAAAATCACAAAACATAACCATCAATAAAATAAACATCAATTTGAGTTTGCTACTAAAGTTTGTAATAAGAGAGTAAACTCGCAAATATATCACCCAACAACTACAATGCCCCCATTACTAAGAGCTCATGACCACAAACAACAGAAAAGCATGGACAATAATTAGAAACAGAAAAAAAAAAAAAATTGTTCCTCCAACCCAAGCAAGTTCCCATTGTACATCAGTAGTGAAAAACTCGACAACCTAGAATCCACTTACTGGAACCAAACAGCAAACTTCAAGACTTCATAGAGCAACAGCGAGATCACTGTGCAAAACAAAATCACAACATCATTAACAATGGTTTTAGTAGGCCAAAAAACCAATGGTTTTAACTGGAAGAAGGTCAACAGATTCTCTCTCTGCCTTTTTTTTTTTTCTTTTGGCAACAGACTCACCATCCTAGTTTTCTTTCTGCTTTTCTATGACCAAAGCATATTTCTAGCATTTGGCCAATAAAAAAAATATTTACTAAAAGTCTAAATACCCACGTTCAATTTACCTGCTGGGGTTGTTGATAAGACCCAGGCTGCTGGTAATTACCATAACCTGGATAGCCCCCATAGTACATGTTAGGATCTTGGGCAGAAGGTGCATAACCATATGCTTCATACCCTTGATATCCATAATATCCACCATTCCACTGAGTTTGATCTAATTGACCCTGAAGCAATCCAAAATACAGATCCTCTTAGATTGCAGTATAAATAGGACTGTGCAAGTAAAGATTTTTAAACATAATCACAATTACAAACCTGTTTGCTTGAGGGACTACGGCCCCATGAAAGCCGAATATTTCTTCCCCCCAAAACAGACCCATTCAACATGGATAATGCTTGCTCTGCTGTAGTTCTGAAGTACATCATGTACAAAAATAGATTTAAATAAGAGTGTGATGCTGCACAATAGAAAAAATAAAACCATCCACTAGTTACCTGTTGGCAAATTGAACAAAACCACAATGCTTGCCAACTGGTATTTTCACATGAACCAGCTCACCAACTTGGCTAAAAACTTGCTTCAATTGATCCTCTGTAACACTGGGATCCAGACCCCCAACAAACACCTGCATTTAAGAGTGTAAGAAGTCACTTGCCTATAAAAAGAACAAAATAAATCAAAAAAGCAAGCTACGCACTGTTGTGTTATTTGGATCATTCTCTCCAGGATTTCCTTGTGTATTCTGGTAGGTAGCTGCAAATGACAAGTAAACATGAACTACAATGTAATAAAAAAAAAAAATAAAAAAAATAGAACATTCCAAGAAGTGAAATACAGGTAAAATGCCCAATCAAATTAATCACATGATTACCACTGTTTGTGGCAATAACATTCATCAGTAGAGTAGCATTTCATATCAACAGCAAGAATTCTTCACTAGGTTTTACGAGATATCTCACACAAGGTTTTTTCCAGAAAAACTGAGCAAATTAACAAACAAAAAATTAATTCAAGCATCCTTCTCAACAATAAAAGCAAATAACCAAATGATAATAACCATATCACATAATATGCCTAACATCTAGCCACCTTGCAGGAACCAACAAGAATAACACTACCAGAGTAGATGAAATTCAACACGGTATCTCAAAATTTATGGCAATAACAAAGTTGTGGTCCTCCTTAAAGCAGGCTACCATTTTCAATGGCTTGAAGGAAAAATGAAAAACAAAATGCAAAGTTAAAGAACTTGGAGATTTCCCCTATCTTTGTAAGGAAAATAGAGAACCCTTTTTTGGAGGACTATCTTTAAAGACAACCTCACATGCGAAGACAATCACTTATACATATTAAATTAAACAGACAATGATACAACATAGGGAGAAAAAACTAAAAGTATAATTAAGGAAATCCTTAACCAGAAGACAAGCAGACCTTGACAACTAGAAAAAAGAAACATCTTTAACATATAGCTGAGCTATTTATAAACAAAATTACCATTAAGTTTCAAGCTTACAGAGAAAGGACCGAACCCTACTTCCAAAATAAATATTTCACAATATAGAGAGACGCAGAAATTTCCAACACAGAGATGAGGAAGAAAACCTATCCCAAGAATATTGCATGATAACATGCAAGCAAATTCATCCATGGCCCTTCATTGTTTATGGCTTGAATTAAAACAGGAAAAGAAAAAAGAATTGCGAAAATTTTATAAGAATAGAGAAAGGGACCGAACCAAGAAAAAATAAAACAATGGACACAGGCTTAGAAAAGATAAATGAAAATTTTAAAGGAAGCATGTTGGGAAACTGAAACAAATTTAACTTGACTGGTAAAATAAGGAACTTGGAAAGTAATTTACGACTGTAGCACAAAAACGCCACAAGAAAATGAACTGAGAAACTTATGACATAAACAAAATAACTGACCTAAAATGAGGCCACGCATTAAAGTGGAATCATTTCAGCTGATATAGGTCCAGGCCCCCCAAAATGAGAGCCTCTTGGTATCCTGCTTTAAGACAACATGAGTTTTATATAAGTTTTTGCATGTTTCCATATAATTAAATAGGTCCATGTTTACAAAGGCAACTGGAAGGAAATGACTTGTAATTTCCGCCAAGCTTAGCTTAAAAGAATGTTTATTTCAAGACCGCTGTAACAAACTCAACTTAACGTTAATGCAAAAGAAGAAAAAGAAAGCTACAGCCAGCAGACTTACCATGTCATGGTATTCTAAACAATTAAAAAACAAAAATCACAGAGAAGAAAACACATCATCTAGCAACACAAGGGAATCATCACATTGCAGGAAATGTTAAATTTACCTTTTGGATACTGCTGCATGGTTAGAGGTTTCTTGTTTGCAGCCGGTCCAATCCGCATGGGCCTAGTAGAACAGAGCATTCCGTTCATTTCAGTCATGGCACGAATTTGCTCATTTTCATCACCAAACCTTACAAAGCCATAGCCCTTAGAACGCCCTGTGGTCCTATCTGTTACAACTTTAGCACCCTTGATGGACGGGTAAACTGCTTTAAATGTTTCTTGTAGCATGTAGTCAGTAACATCAGCTGCCAAATCTCCAACAAAGATGGTATAATCAGGGCCCTCATCCTGACGCTTCTCACCAGGGCCAAGCGCAGCCCAATTCAATCTAAAAGCCTGATCAGTACTTGGCATCGATGTTCCATTATATGTTTGCAGAATTCTCTCAGCTGCCCCACGACTAATAAACTCGATGAAGCCATAACCCTCAGGAAGGCCAGTTTGCTTATTGCGAATAACCTTCGCTGAAAGCACCTGAAAGAAACCAGCAGTGCCACTGAGAAACAACACCAAATTGGTGATATAAGAGGCACAAATCAATCAATCATCTGTCATATTACCTCTCCAGTATGAGCAAAGATGCCGGTAAGATAATTCTCGTCCATCCACTGCTGCAAGTCCCCGATCCACAAGGACCGGATCTCACCGGCGCCTACCGCGCCCTGGACTGCCTGGTACTGCTGCATCTGACTCGGTGGAGGAACCGGCTGCGGAGTCCATCCTGCGGGAGGCGGAACGGGCTGAGGAGGCGCCTGCTGTTGCTGCTGCATCATCATCCACTGCTGCGGCGTCGGTTGTTGGTACTGCTGCAACTGCTGCGGGTCACCTGTCATCTGCGGCGGAGGGACCACTCCTCCGGGTGCTGGCTGATGCATCATATCGGCGAAATTACAAGTCCGACGACGGGAGATCGGAAAGATGAAAGCAAAACCCTAAGGAGGTCGTTTAGCTTAGGAATCCTGAGGTATTGAATTGGAGGTTAAGGGAGAATCGGTTAAGCTAAGGCGGGTATAGATCGCGTACGTTTGTGTCGTTGACACGTGGCGTGAGAGAATAGATTGGGTTCCGATATGGAAGTCGGTGTTAGATTGGGCTGGGCTGGACCGTGTTGTTATTATTTTTTATTTTCTTTTTTGAATTTTAAACAGAGAATTCTTAAAAAGATAAAAAAGAAAATTAAGAAATACTCGCATTTTAAATGTTAGCACTATTTTTTTTTGTTAAATTATATTTATATATATGTATTGCGTGATGACTTATGAAAGATGTTTACATATATTATTATTATTCTTACTATTTAATTATCAAAATGTTTTAATTTTTATATTTTTTTAAAAACATGTAAAAGTATTTTATCATTCAAATCACAAAACATTACCTTCATATCATATAAAATTTAATTTTGAAATCAAGAATTAATGTAACAAGAATTTGAAAACAATTTGTTGATAACAAATTCCTATAGAAGAATCGTTATGTAAAATCACATAATTTTTACAAAAATATTATAATTATAATCTTATATAATATTATAAATTTATAATATAATGTATTATTATATAATTTATTTTTTAAATTTAAGAATTTATTTATAATATTATATATATTTATTTAATATAATATTATAATTATAAATTTATAACATTATAATTATAAAATTACACTAATTTTTGTTAATTTTTCTCATTAAACCAAAATCAATGAATTAATAGCCAAATTTCGCACGTTTGGGTATATCTTATGATGATAATAATAGTATACTCCTCTTTCATAAAAAAAAGAATATTCCTCTAATAAAAGTCCCTTTCCACTGGATATCTGGAAGGCTCAAGCATAAGTAACATTACTATGCATTCTGCTTCCATGTTTTAATGTATATTAATGTGTACATGACAAAAATTGACACAATCCACCCATTTGATCTTATCCAACTTGGTTGTTCTCCCACTCCAAATAATTTTTTTTGGCCCACACACTCCTAATGATTAATATAAACATTTTAAACTTAACTAGCTGTTATATTTTTGTATTACATAACTGTAGGATTGAATTTATTAATAAATAAATATGTTTTGTAAGTCAAATTAATAATTAAGTCTTGTGGTTAATATCTCATAAGATTGTTTAATTAATTAAAAATATATTATTTTAAATTTAAAATTTTAGATTTAATCTTGAATAGAGGTGACAATTTACCTCGATTTTCATGAGCTCAGCATAAATCCCTATTACAGGGACCGGATGAAAAGGAATATCCTTTTTTGTGGAGTGGGGATAAGGGGCATTTTTTCCTGTGAAAATTTGTAGGGAATTTTTTCCCATCCTGTGTGGATCCCCATCTCTGCAAAAAATTAAAAAATATGAAAATTAATTTTATTTTAAATTTAATTCAATTTTCAAACCCGAACTCAATTCAATAAAAATTAAATTTAAGTTAATTTTACTTAACTCAACCCAGCTCATCATTAACATTTTAACTATTTATGTTAGATTGATTTTTATTTATATTTAAACAATTTATATTTTAATATTAATTAACGAGAAATGGAGATATGAGATAATATCTACCTCCAGTTAAAAATTCTCACGAAATCTATCCCCATTATTCATGGGATTGGGATGGAGACAGGGAGGGACTCTCGACTCTATGAAACCCCGTTGATATCTCTAATTTTGAATAAGGTGAATAGAGATTTGAGGAAAGAATTATTTTTCTTATGTAACTCATCATCATATGTATCAAAAAAAAAGTCTTAAGATTGATATTTAAAAAAAAAAAAAATTTATTAAATATATCAAATTAGATGAAAGTGTACCCTTAAAACAAAGTGTTAGAAAACTAATTTGAAAAATCCTGAATTTAAATAAAAAAATTTATATTACACTTTTTTAAAATTTTATAATTTTTTCTTGAGTTAGATAAATTCAAAGAATATAATAATTAATTAAAATAAAAAATTATAAAATTAATGATTGAGAGCGTAAAAATAATTCTTTTAAACATGGCTATGCCTATAAAAAACAGATATAATCATTAAAGGGTGGAATGGTCATTTCATTGGTGATAGAACGACCGCTTGACTTGGATATGCAAACATAAAGCAACAGACTAGCGACATGGAAGGACTTGGGAACAATAGAATGGAGTCACAGCTTGTGTTCATAGTAAGTGCCTGTCTGCTAGTATCAGCAACTGCAAATGGGGAGTATCTGAGACCCCAACCTCGTAAAACCTTGAACTTGCCATGGAACTCAGTGCCCTCTTCTCATCCCCAGCAGGTACCCTCTTTGCTTGTCTTTTACTCCTGCATCTGGGTTTTCAGTGCTCCTATCTGATTCAGTGTCATGTGCTTTGCTTTTGTTTTGATCTGATCTGGGTGTTGCTCTGTTGCTTTTTCATTTCTGCAATCTCTAGTTTTCTAAATAGATTTGTTTCCATAAAAATTTCAGGGAAAGTATTTGGTTGGTAGTGGTTTATTTATGCCAAATTAGTGGCTTGATATGACTAGAAGGAAGTTCTGTTGAGATTTATGGCTTGATTTTCATATTTGAGAGGAAAGATTATAACTTGAAACCGAAAACCTTGTTTTGATGTTTGTGAATTGTGGTTCTGTCTGTTTTTCTGCAGAAAATTTTGGACTTTTTGTTCATAGGAAATGTAAAATTTAGGCATGAAAGAATTTGTTAGTTATGAAACTGATTGGAATTTATGATTGATTAATCCGTGTCAATAGTGATTGATGAACTAGCTGCTGTGATAGATATCAATGCTTGGAGTGAGTGTTCCCTGGGGAATTTTCCAATGAAACATTCTCGTAGCCTGTTTATTTCGACCTGGAGGATTATGGATATGCTTTAGAAAGATGAATTTCTCACTGTTGTGAACAGGACAGTAGCATGAAGTGATACTGAAATAGAAAAATTATATTTCTTATATGGCCAAGCAATTACTGAACTTTTAAACAAATGGTCTGTTAATGGAGGAAAGACTGCTGCTGCTTTTTTGGTGATAATATATTGATATTTATATCTAGTGTATATAATAAAATGAGTGTGTCCTTGTCTTTGGGTGTTAAGTAAAAGTTAAATTTGGCACACAAGAATGGTACATGGTTAGCATCCTCCCTGACAACAGTGTGTTACAGTGTGTTGTGAAGAACTGCTAATGTCATGCCTTTACTGTATTCTTTTTCCAAGTTTTAGTTTCTTATATCTATGTGGCATCCTTTAATTGTCATCTCAACTCTGTCTATTGCAGGTGCATGTATCTTTGGCCGGAGACAAACACATGCGAATTACATGGATCACTTATGATAAGTCAGCTCCATCAATTGTTGAATATGGAACAGAACCTGGGAAATACAACTTTATAGTTGGTGGAGAGAGCATCTCTTACACTTACCTATTCTACAGCTCAGGACAAATACACCACACTGTCATTGGTCCTCTGGAATATGATACTGTTTACTTTTATCGTTGTGGGGGACGAGGTCCTGAATTTCAATTGAAGACCCCTCCAGCTCAATTCCCAGTTACTTTTGCCGTAGTGGGTGATTTAGGTCAAACTGGCTGGACTAAAACAACACTAGACCACATTGACAAATGCAAATGTGATGTGCATCTGCTGCCTGGGGACCTGTCATATGCTGATTTCATGCAGCATCTCTGGGACACTTTTGGGGAGCTGGTACAGCCACTTGCTAGTGCCAGGCCATGGATGGTAACTGAAGGCAACCATGAAGAGGAGATGATACCACTGCTCAAGGATGGATTTCAGTCCTATAATGCTAGATGGAAAATGCCATTTGAAGAGAGTGGATCAAGCTCCAATCTTTATTATTCTTTTGATGTTGCAGGGGTTCATGTTATCATGCTTGGTTCTTTTGCAGATTATGATGCGTATTCAGACCAATATAGCTGGTTGAAGGTCAGTTTGTTGATTTTTTCATATGAAATAATGAAATATTCGTCTTCTTCAACTACTACTATTACTACTGCTGCTGCTACTTGTACTACAGTTATGAACATTATATCTTAGTTAAAATTCACAAATTGATTGTGCCTTGTAGATCACTAGGTTCTATACTCAAAAAGAGGGGCTAGAATGTATAAATGATGAGCTTACATTTTAAGATTTATGAGAAATAAAGACATAGGTTTTTAATCCTAGAGCTCATGGCCTGTGACGGGCACTTTTTTCTCATACAAGCCTCTTTTTTTGATAAATTCTCATACAAGCTTTAAGTATTAATTGAATATCAACCAACTAGCTTAATTAATATGTAAAGCTTGTGTGATAATTTATCCAAAAAAAAAAAAAGCTTGCTGGTGAGTTACAGTTCTATGCTGAGTTATAATTAGCCATGATATGTGTGGAAACCCTGTTACTAATTTGGAATTTGCAGGAGCTTGTGTTCAATGCATCTGCTTTCTTTTTTTATGTACATGAGTTTTAGATGCTTACGCATGATAGGCACCATCTTATTGTCATTAGCAAGGAAGCTCCAGCTTTGTATTTCTAATGAAAAAGGTTGATTGTCACTCTTGTTCTATATAGGATGATCTTTCAAATGTGGACCGTAAAAGGACACCTTGGCTAGTTGTGCTATTTCATGTGCCCTGGTATAATAGTAACCATGCTCATCAAGGTGAAGGAGATGAAATGATGGCAGCCATGGAACCAGTGCTTTATGCTGCTGGTGTTGACTTAGTGCTTGCAGGTCATGTTCATGCTTACGAACGCACGGTATGTGAATACTAATTTAGCTTTGTTCTTATCTTAGTATTTGTCAAAAGTCGAAACAGTGCTCATGGTGGCATTTTTCTGTACCCCAGACACGTGTTTACAATGGAATATCAGATCCTTGTGGTGCTGTCCATATAACTGTTGGAGATGGAGGAAACAGAGAAGGTTTAGCACACAAGTACGTCTTCTATTGTAGCAAATCTTTCACTGTATAATCTTAAGTACAACATTTTTGTCTGTTGCAAGTAAATATTCATGTGACTCTATATGAAGCTGCTTTTACATAAGTTCCATAAATTGATTGGCAGGTATAAGAACCCCCCACCTGAGTGGTCAGTCTTCCGTGAAGCAAGCTTCGGGCATGGTGAGCTCAGGATAGTGAATTCAACTCATGCATTTTGGAGCTGGCACCGTAATGATGATGATGAGTCGGTGAGGTCTGACGAGGTGTGGATAACCTCTCTGATCGATTCTGGATGCCTTGTCAAGAAGAATGATGAACTAAGGAAGATCCTCCTGGAACAGTAGAATGGTCATGTCTTGGGCTATGGTTCAAAATATCTCACGTGTAAATTCAAAACTGAAACCCTGTGATGGTTATGTAGAATCTGTAATAGCTGCTTGACACGATGGAATGCCTGGCCCCTTCAAGCATTCGATAGGCCATTGTCACACGTGAATATGCAGAACCGTGTGATGGGTATGTAGAATCTCTTGTTCTGTATGAGTATTTGGCATTATACTGTTTCAAAAGCTGTAACTTGCATTTGTCCTGACCGTTGTGGGTGTATACAGGAAGGCAAATGTTAGATTCTCCAGCATTTCCGCTTCTTTCATGCCTAAATACAAGTAAAAAAAATTGCCAATATTCAAAAAAATGAATAAAATAATAGAAGTTTTAAAAAATGCTAATCATGTTCTTCCAGCATAGCACTTAATGATAAGAATGATAATGAAATTTATGGGCGTATTTTTTTTAATAGGTCAATGAATCCTTTAATGTTAAATATAAAAAAATTATTATGTAATTTAAATTGTAATAAATTACATAATAAAAATCCTTAGATAAGACGGATTAAAGAGTTTTTATTTTATAGTTTCCATTACAAAATAACAAATTTAATATATAATATTAATAAAATATATTTGATATTAAAATATGACATTGTTGAGCTTTCAAGGGATTTAACCAAATGTTTCAATTAATTAAAATTTTAAAACTTTAAGCTGAAGATACTATAAAAAAGAAAAAATAGTATAGTTGACAAAATTATTGATAATAAATGTTTTTTTGGTCTTTATTGATAATAAATTCATTGATTTAATTTGAATGTGGATTTGTAAGACATATACATCTTAAAACTTAAAGGAAAATCTTGGAAATAAACACGTAATAGTAGTGAACTCAAGTAGTCTCTGACTTAGGCATGGTATGGTACGGTTATTGTACCGCTCTCAAATGATTGTAACCGTTTTAAGTGGTAATGAAAAAAATTTACCATTTCCATACCAATTGATGATTTTTTTGTAATGACTGCCAACTGTTTTTAACGGTAATGAAACTCGCCTTACCAATACCATCTCATATTACCATCTTTAAACTTATTTTTTTCATTATCAATTAATTCAATTAATTCAAAATTCAATCTTAAAAACTCAAAATTATCAATTTTTTTTGTATTGCTATCATTAATATTTACAAATTTATGATGCACAATTAATGAACCAAGCAAAGCAATTAATTAACTATATTATAAAACAATAAACTCCTAATCTCATAGATAACCATTCTTATAGATAAGCATTCATTTTGCATTTCAAATTTGAAGAATATAAAAGCAACATGCATTCATAAATGATTTCATAAGATTATAAAACCAATCATATTGTGCAAGTAGACCAAGTTTACAAAAACAAAAAGCAAACAATTGGCCTATAACTACAACCAATAAGCCAACATTCAACTCAATAGACACTAGACATATTTACCAACTATTAGTCTAAGAGAAGAAGACCAAGTTCATCAACAAAAACACAAAATGTTGCCCTACAATGAATCTACTGATTCTTCACAGCTTCCTAAGTTTCCATTATTAAGTGCCTTAGTGACAGTGAGTGTCAAATTGTTGGCAAAATTACAAAAATTATCGTCATTTTAGGAAAAAAATCATTAAAAATATTTTGAAGTTGAAAAAAATACATTTTGGGCTAGCTGCAAATTTGGTAATTTAGAGGCCATACGATAAATATGGTAATGATCCTCTAATAAATGATATTATTATATTACCATTTAGATCTGATAATTTCTTATATCCTTTCCGCTGGTAATGGAACGGTACAATGCTAATTACGGGTGTAATGCCCAGCCCTGTCTGACCAACTGAAGTGTTTTACGCACGCCGAAAGGCCTCAGCTTGAAGACCCTTCAGCAAAAGTCACAGACCAATCTCCAAAACCCTTTTGATTACTCATTTGATCTCCGGAATCCTTGTGTAGATTTTCCGGAGAAAACTTCATTTGGTGGAAAAATGCACGATTTCTGTTTCACGATCCCGTACGGCCTGATTCTTATAGGTGGTGGCATTGTTGGATATGTCAAGAAAGGAAGCATAACATCACTTGCTGGTGGTGGAGTAGCAGGATTGTTGCTCATCCTTGCTGGTTATTTAAGTCTCAAGGCTTTTAAGAAGAGAAAGAACTCATATTTTGCTCTGCTTCTGGAGACTGGTAAAATTCACACTCTGTTTAATGATCTTGCTGTATTTCAGTATTTTCTTTCTGGGTTATGAATTTGAGGGAACAAACTTAATCCAGGTTCTAACTTTTGTGATTGGATTTGGGTTCTTTATGTTTAGAATTTAAAGTTGGAGATTCAGTGTCTGCAGTTTGTGGGATTAACTTTGCTAGTACTTCATCAGATTTTTTATATTTTCATTTTATTGCTTGTTTATGTGTGATAAATTGATTTTATCTTGCTGGTAGAGTGATATGAGATTTTTAGTTTATGGATCCAAAGGTTAGTGCTCCCTAATCTTTCTATGCCAGCTTTTGAGCCTTGAGATGATCTTTTTTCAATTACCATGTTAAATTATCTTGCTGGAAGCTCTGTGACATGGTTGGTTTTTCTCCACATGAAATTGAGAATTAAAACTGGATTCTATGCGCTACCATTTAGGAGCTTCTGATCTTGCTGGTCCTAGACGCCTAATAGATGGTTTGAAAAGTTAAAAAACTGTACTTTCTAGGTATATAAATTTGTTTGAGGTTATAATTGTAAACCTCTCCTTAATCCTAATGTCTGGTGAAACAATTTCGCAAGAGTTTGGCACTCTCTTAAAGGAAAACCATTTAAAGTTTTCTCTTTTTATGAAACAAACCATTGGGAGTTATAAATGAATAAAGAAAGGAGTTGACTTAAACCCAATTGCATTTTAGCTAAGCTCTTTTGTTACTTAAATAAACTTGCTTTCCAGAAAAGGATTGATGCATATATGTTGCTTTAGTTACTTCCTTGTTTACATCTGCTGGAATGCATATAGGGCTTCAGACATTCCTTGGTGACGTGCACTAGGTTAATGTTGGTCTCTAGTTTACAACAAAATAGAAAGTTAAATGGAGAGCAAGTCTTGGAGCTTTATTTGCTTGCCAGTGAGATTGATATTTTGTAAGAAAAACTAGATCAGAAAGTAAGGTGTTTTATGTTCTCTCATCAGCCCCAATTTCATGTTATGCTGGCTTGACTGATTCAATTGCATTTCAAACAGTTTGTGCTGCTGTGTTGACATGGGTCATGGGACAACAATATCTTCAAACCTCCAAGATTATGCCTGCTGGTATTGTGGCAGGCATAAGGTGAGTAGAGCTCATATTTGGATACTTTTTAGTATTCTATCCCTCTTGTTATGTTACATTATTGCATGGTAATACAAGTGGGTCAACGGAACATAAATGCACCTGAGCTGCTTTGTTAAGCTTGTCCAAGGGCTTTGTTATGATAATCTTTAAAGTGGTACAAATCTAGACAGAATATATTAATTAATCTCTTGAAAATCATTATTAAAAACCCTGTGGCATGGTATTTGCATGAAAATTTTGGCAAATGTAGAGTGGTTAGATGATTTTTGAACACCAACCAGCTTTGTAGGTTGGGTTGCCACTTCTATATGTAGGCCACCAATACCTAGTTGTAATTTTGAGCCAAGTGGTAGCCACTGCCACTCTTACCTTTGATGGGAAATTTCTAGGTAGGTTGAGGGGCTTAGTATTCATTCTTTAATTAGAAATCTCCATTCTAAAGGGCTAAAGACTCATTTTTCCACCTAGCAGTGCTCTTGGGACTGGATTTTTTGTCTACAAAATAGCAACTGGTGGCAACCATATTCCAGTGAAAGCTGAATGAAATATCAAGTATCATCAAGGACTTAATTCTACTAATTTTGACAATTTTATTAGAACCATCAAATCCTCCTTGGAACACATTTTTGTTGAACAATATTATATTGATATTGTCCTGTATTGTTGTTTGTGTAACACTAAAGACAAGAAAGAAAAGAAACCTGGTTTATGGTCAACTCTCTTTCCCATTTTCTTACGTCTTAACCCCAATTTCTACCCCCAGTTATCTTCTTAATGTAATCTGTTGAGCATCTCTTGTAACTTTATTTTGCTTGTATAAAAACATACATCTTAACCCCAGCAATGAAATCATGGAGCTCTGGAAACCTAATCTCCAATATGTTCCTGGGAATCTGGTTCAATAAAAGTTGTTTTTTCTTTTCTGGAAGAATGCTCTTAGGACTGCAGCCAAAGGATTACATGCCAGAAGAAAATAAAACAATGTCAACAATTGTTAAAAAGTATATACCTGTCACTGAAAAAAAAAATATAAAATAAAACCAACAACTGAAATCATCCAAAGAAAAATGTCAATTGTAGGTGTGCAAAAGAAATAAAACAACAATGATGTAAATCACAAAGTTCAGAAGTATATCTCAAGAAGAAAGAGTAGAGATTCTGCCTCAAAAACCAACAAAATAAGGTCAATAATTTCTTCTCTATGACCCAAGTCCTTCCCACCATCTATAAGCTGAGACTCCTACTTCTCTATTTCTCCATGGATGCTAACATCACTATTCTCTTGTTCAGTATCCCTATCTTCATTCTCCTAGTAAAGAGAAGAAGATTATCACAAAGGCTTCCTCCAGGTTCACTAGGAGTACCTATCATAGGCCAAAGCATTGGTCTTCTCCGTTCCATGAAAGCCAACACAGCAGAGGAATGGCTGCTCAAGAGAATAAGGAAATATGGCCCTATATCAAAGCTGACTCTATTTGGAAAACCTACAGTTTTCATTCACGGACAAGCTGCAAACAAGTTTGTTTTCACCACTGACAGCAGCACCATTTCTAATTCACAACCAAAGTCTCTAAGGGCAATCCTGGGGGATCGCTGCATATTAGAACTCAGTGGTGAAGACCACAAGCGTGTTAGGAATGCTCTCATGTCTTTCCTGAAGCCTGAATCCTTGAAAGAGTATGTGGGAAAGATTGATGAAGAAGTCCGGCAACACCTTGAGATGCACTGGCATGGCAAACAACAGGTCACAGTAAGTTGATGCTAGCAAATTCGCCCTGCTTTTCAAAGATCAGGAAACAGTATATTTGGCCTAAGAATCTAGAGAAAATGATGATTTCATACTGTTATTAACATGGAGTCTTTCAGTTTTGAGCAAAAGGGGAGATAAGAAGAATTGTTACATTTTCATAGTTTTTTATTGTTATAGTGTGTTTCTCCATCTGTTTGATAGGTGTTGCCATTGATGAAAACCCTTACATTCAACATAATCTCTTCTCTTCTGTTTGGAGTTGAGAGGGGAATTGGAAGAGATAGACTCGTGGGTGATTTTCAAGAAATGATAGAAGGAATCTGGTCCATTCCAATCAATCTGCCTTTCACACGCTATAACCGCAGTCTCAAAGCAAGCGCAAGGGTTCAAAAACAGCTGAAGGATCTTATACAGAAGAAGAGGGTGGAACTTGAGCAAAAGAGTGCCTCTCCTCACCAAGACCTCATCACTTGCCTACTTAGTATTCACAATAATGAGAATGAGGAAGTAGTAACTGAAAGGGAGATTATGCATAATGTCATGCTTGTCATGGTTGCTGGACATGACACTTCTTCTGTACTAATCACTTTCTTGATTCGTCTCTTTGCAAATTATCCTGCAATTCATGCTGCTGTTCTTCAAGGTATAAGCTTGGTCTTGTATCTTATACAAGAAGTTTAGAGAATTCGTATTTAAAAAAAAAAAAAAAAAACCCACCTTAACATAGAGATTTAGGCTTCATCTAAAGTTCTTCTTTACTGAATCCTAGGAAGTTGTTGTTCCTACTTCCAAGAATCTAAATAGAAATAAGATCATGGATTCACTGATGTGGTTTTCTTACTTTTGGATGCAGAACAAGAAGAGATAGCTAAAAGTAAATCAGCAGGTGAGTTTCTGACATGGGAAGATCTTGCAAAAATGAAGTACACGTGGAAAGTAGCCATGGAAACTTTGAGGTTTTTTCCACCTGTCTTTGGGGGCTTTAGGACAGCTATAAAGGACATAGATTATGGTGGATACCTCATTCCTAGAGGGTGGCAGGTAAAAGCATATTTTGGCATTAGCTCTTGCATTGAACACTTGAATTTCTTGATTAGTTAACTCATAAGCTTATGGATATTCAGATTTTCTGGGTTACAAGCATGACACACATGGATGACAGCATATTTCCTGAGCCATCAAAGTTTGATCCCTCTAGATTTGAGAATCCGACTTCAATTCCACCATATTGCTTTGTACCATTTGGAGGAGGACCTCGAATATGTCCAGGATATGATTTTGCAAAGATTGAAACCTTGGTTGCAATTCACTATTTGGTTACCAGGTTTAATTGGAAGTTGTTATGTTCAGACAATTTTTTCAGTAGGGATCCTACGCCCGTGCCAACTAAAGGGTTGCCTATTCAACTCAGTTCCAGATTTCAGCAGGGATCCTATGCCAGTGCCAGCTAAAGGATTGCCTATTCAAACTACTGTTGAAGTCTGATCTTAGGTTATTTTGGAACTTCTCTACTTGCTTCAAAGAAACTTTGCAGTGTACTGTTGTTGGCCAAATGTCATAAATTTACACTTTATCATCCTAGCACATGCCGGCATCGGATTAATGGCTTGCACTGAACATTGAAACTTCTGTGTGTGCACAGAGAAGATGTTGGCCAAATGCCGTAAATTTACACTTTATCATCCTAGCACATGCCGGCATCGGATTAATGGCTTGCACTGAACATTGAAACTTCTCTTTGTGTACAGAGAAGAAAACTTTCTCCTCAATGGGAGATGAGAGATACCACCTTGTCCAAGCAGCACCTCGAGAGGCTGCGAGGCAAAGAAAGCCAGGCTTACTCTCATGTTTGGTGCATAAGTGAATCAGCACAAATGGTTCTGAAATCTGCTGACTGCTGTACGAGGAAAAAGGGTACTCTCTCGGCAAAACCTCACAGCATGCCCTCCAACTTTTCGAGTATGTGTGACTTTACCCCTCACATTACAATGTGTGATTTTATACCTTCCTCATATTTGAGTTTATGATAATGAGGTAATATTTAATGTTGAGGGGTCACGTGCAGTACGTGAACCGTTAATTTTTGTCAAACATGAACAAGTCAGTGACACGTGGGCCTTTTTTTACACATTGGCAGTCCAGCTTGGACTACTCGTTAGCGGGAAAGATACCGCCAAACAATTTAATTGTGGGTTCTCCTTCATGAACTTCTCAATTACTTCCCTCATCATCGAGCACTCTTTCTCCAGCTGATGCACCCGTGTTCTCATGCTATCCATGTCTAGTCGCAGCACCTAATTCTCCCTCATTATCACCCTTCATGTACTGCTCTCTTCCTCTGCACCTAATCCTAGACCTTCCCCTTCTTCTCCTTCCCCATCCTCTCTTCTCATTGCTAATAATCGCCCCGCTTCAGTCTGCGTGGTCTTTATCGCCAGCAGAGTCCCAGTAATTGTGTGCTAGAGTTGTAACTGCTCCAAGAACAATACCTATATAGTTACGCGTAATGGCAATCGCTCATTTTGAGCTGCGTGAGTGCATGCCCCTAGCGTGAATTTTTGATAATCAATTACTGCGCAGATCTTTTCGCTCTCAGACTCCCGTAGCCATGGATGTGCCTATTAAATAGCCAAAACCGAAATCAAGTCCATGAATATGACGAGTCTTATTTTTTTAATTTTTTCTAAGAAATTCTTCTACGTTTTACCTTGATATACACATCAATGGCTCTGTAGAGACCGTCGTCGTAGACTCTGGCTTGATTCGGAAGAGAGATTGTGAGATTGTAGAACTTCTCAAGCTTGAGATTTGCTTCCGATGCAATCTCAGAGAGAAAATCGTCGATTAGTTTTTCGACTAGCATAAGGCCACATATCCAAAACTATTACTATATCATCTCTGGCCTCGGCTTCAATTCCAGCCATAAATGCAATCTCATTTGACTTTCCTTTTTTTTTGTTCAACTCATATGTTACAGTCAGAGTGAGACCCACAATTAGATTATTTAGCGGTATCTTTCCCACTAACAAGCAATTAAGGGGTAAAGTCCCATATACTAAAAAAGTTAGAGAGTATTCTGTGGGGTTTTGCCGTACTCTCTCTGGATTCCTCCGACTCTGGAGTCAATATCCTTCTCGTAAATTGAGGGCCAAACAAATAATCACTTGCCTCCTGTAACTCTGACAGTATGCTTATATTATTTGAAAGAACAGTTGCAAGTTTATCGAGGATAATAGTGATATTCTGATTAATTCTGTCATCTGCAAGGGAACATCATACCGTCATACCTGTAAGAAGTGGAAACCAGTGAAGATTGAACTTAGCATGCCAGATCGTCTTCCACTGATTTTGTTTGATCAGTCTACCAATAGTCCAAGAAAATTCATCTTCTTGTTGTATCTACATCATAGAATCATTTGGAAAACTCTATGCAATTTATTTGGTTAAGGTTAGGCAATATCCTAAGACAAATAAAAAATAACTGACATATAGAAAATAAAGGAGTGCCGCACTTGAAAAAGCAGAAGGATGGCTTCCTCTAGACATGTTACTTGCAATTGCAAAGTACCTTAAGCTACCTGACTAGTGACTTTATGTTTTGGTCTTTAATCTAAGGGGTCAAAAATATCACCAATTGAAAGATGTCATGAGGTGTCCTATTCAAGGGCAGGTTGGTCTTGATGTTAAAAGAAAAGTATTCCTTTAGAATCCTTTTGTAAAGATTCTATGAGCTTTCTACACCCTTTCCTTTTTTTTTTTTTTTAAACCCTAAGGTTAGTCCATGAACCATCCGGCCACAATGCCTGGTTCTTTCTACACCTTCGGTTGGGATGGGATGCCATTGCTAAACTCCAAAGGTTAAATTTATTCGTGAACATGCAATTTTTTTATAAGTCAAATTTTTTAAAGTTCTATGATTAGTACTTAAGTATATTAATTTTTTAAAATACACTAAATCAACTTAAAATTTGCTTTTAAAATTATTTATTGTTTTAAAAAATTAATTTTAAAATGTAAAAAAACTGACATAATGAGACGTTGGCTATAAAAAAAAAAAAAAAATGAACACATGCAAATTTTTTGACAGGGCTGAGAAGCCTTGCTCCTCGCCAAAGTTATTTGTTAGAATGTGATCTGAAGCTTCAGTAACTGTTAGTGAGTTTCTAGGGAAGTTGTGTTCAATTTTTCGAGTTAAATGCGTCCGAAATTGATATCGAGAATATAGAAAACATCCAATTCATATTTGCAATCACTTCTTTTCTTCCATTCTAACAGCTCATGAAATAAAAGACAAAATTTATTTTTCAAAATTTCATGGTTTGAATTACATTATCATGGTACTAATGAAGTCTTAACAACTTTTTAAGACACCAAAGAACAATTGAATTTTAGTTGAAATCAACCCAAGTGGATTGATTTTTTTTTTTTCACGATGATTTCAAGAACCCATGTTATTCTATAGCTCATGCACATGTTCTCTCTGTAAAATATGCCAATTCTTTTTATTTTATTTTATTTTTATTATTATTTTTGGGTCTGTGTATAATTGTAATATGTAAAAACAAACCTAGGCTTAACCAAAGCCTATTGATTATTGAACAATGGTTTGGTCTGACACAATTCCTATTGATTATAGCTCAAGATATTATTTATATTATACAAGATAATAGATCTCCAATTGACACATTGATCTTCCAAGACGTTCTAACAACTTTAACATAAAAGTCAGGGAAGGAGTCTGAAAAATCAATTAGGGGGGTAAAAATTAGTATTAAATATTTGAGTGTTTAAGAGTATCTTTTACGGTATTAATTCATTTTTTAAAATCTTATTTTTCTTATTAAAAAGATTTACTTGTGATCTTTTTTATTGATATATTCTTAACAGTAATTAGAAATGAATGTATTTATTATAATAAAAATAAAATACAACAATAAATCATATAATGATCAATTGAAGAATGAATTAAAAAGGAGAAATGTGTTTTTGTTAATAAAATCTCTAAAAAATTAGAAGGAAAAACATCACAAAATTATATTGTTTCCAAAAAAAGTGCAAGTTTAAAGTTGATTAAATAAAAAATCAAAGTTTTCTTTTTTGAGGTTTCATAGAATATTAAGTGAGAAAATAAAAAGAATACTAAAGAAAAGTGTAAATTATTATATAGAATATTAAGAGAGAAAATAAAAAAACACTAAAGAAAAGTGTAAATTTGAAGTTGATTAAATAAAGAATCAAAATTTTCCTTTTTGGGGTTTAACAGATAATGAAATGTTTAAGTACCCCAAATTCCTAATTAATTAAATTCTCATAAAATTCATTTTATTTAAATCATATTCTTATTTTTTGAAAACTTTTTATTTAGATCATAAATATTCTCTCTACATTTAAAATAATTCTTAAAATTCATACTATAAAAACAAAATTTTTAAGAATAAAAATTAGAGTACCATATTAAATATTTTTCAAAAGTTTAGAGGGGCGGCTGCCCCCCCTTCTCCTTCATTGGCTCCGTCCCTGATAAAAGTATACTTCTTAAAGGAATGAGTCACCACAAAGTCGCAAATATCTTCTGGCCATGGCTTTAGATGATTTTGATGTTTGTACTGGTAATGGAGAAATGTAGAAACTCTCCTGAGCGAAGTAATATCTTTATAGCTAATTTGTACACAAATGTAGTTAGTAATACCTTTCACTAGTTGCTTCTCCCAGGATAAGGCTGAAGAGTCCCCTTCGTTCAAACAAATTAAATACAACAACGGTTAATAATTGATAATTTAGACAAGTTATCAACAAAAAAAAGCCTTTTTTAAGTAAAAATTTTTCCTCTAATTTAGGTCTCAATATTAATGAGTGTTAACATAGGTTCAGCATTAAGATAGAACTTAATAATTTGGGGAGATAATTGATTATTGACCTTAATTCGAGTGAATCATTCACCCTTTAGTCAATGTTTTTAAATTCAAATAAGTGTTTAACAATCTAACTCTAAACACTATCTCCCATTTAATGTTAATCATTGTAGTTCAATTTAGACGGCAAAACAGAACATTCCTTTTAGATTAAACAAAATGAGTTCTGAAAATTCACAATTGTATATTTGACTTTCACGGTAAAAGGATAACAAAAAATAAAAAAATAATTTAATTAAAATGGGTGGTAGGAATTTTCATCATAGGAGGTTTCTGTCGGGAATCTTTTACTTTTAAACTTTCTTAATTATTAAGTCACTCAGACTCTTTAAGAATAAAATTTGATTTTAATTTTAATAATTAATTAATTAAATTAGATATTTGACATTAATACTAATTTTTTTATTTTTCTATATATATTAATAATTTAAAGATGTATTCTGTTAACTCGTGCCCTTAAAAAAATCCTTCGTTCATTTGGGTCAGTCAGTGTTGTGTTGGGAGCAGCACAGCACAGTTGAACTCAAAACTTCTGTAAACATGTTCGCGGAAAAGGGCAAGCGAAACCAGCCTGCCTCAACTGAGGAGAAGGCGATCCATTGCTGCATTTGCAGGATAAAATATAAAAGTATGGACGCTCTTATTGCGCACAGGTCTACCACTCATTCTCTGACAAAGCAGCAGGTTCGCATAAACAGGAACACTAATGCGGGAGGCAACAATAAGGGAATTGCTTGGAATGCAAGTGCAGGTTCCAGGGGGTCGGCTTCTGGTAGAGGTAAGGGGAAGTAGAATATGGGCAAAAATGGGTTTTATAGGTAGTTAAATATTTTATACTCGGTTAGAAATTGTAAATATGAATGAAAAGAATGATGATATATCATATAAATATCAATGAATATTATGAAGAAACATCATGTAAATATTTATGAATGAATGATGAATTATCATGTAAATATGATTGAAAATTTCTATGCAAACCTTCAATTTGTTCGATAACAGCACCTCTATAAGAAATAAAACAGATTTAATGAGCTGTAGTCTCTATTCGAATGCTTTTGCTTGATTTGGTGCTCAGCAATGCACCTTAACCGTTACATTTTAGACCCTAGTGCTTTCTCCAGCATGTGGTGTGCCTTTTCTGTCCAGTTACAGGATCGATTTCCTTCGGTTGTGAACATTTACATTCTTCTTTCGAAATTCGTTTTGAGATATGTTAAGTAGATGATATTAATTTAGTTTGGAAAAGTTATATTTAAGCTCAATAACTAATTCTATAGAAGTGCTTGTAAAAGATCCTGGCAGAGTAGAGGAC